GGGAAAGAACTACTAATATTACATTGACTGGAGGTGAAAGAGAGCGTAGGTGAGATTTCTGTGATATCTGTCTCCTCTGTATTTCGAGTGGAGCCCTCGGCTCTGTTCCAGTCTGCTGTAGTGGATTTAATTCACCAGCTGTGTCAGGCAATGTGCTAGGCAGAATGCCTGCTGACGAGGTAAACAAATGAATCGACTTTCAGTGGATTCTTGATCTAATATCTTTTTCCCCTCAGTTTTAAACTTTATTTGGAAGACAAGTAACTGCACACGTAATTATCTTAGGCATCACTGTCTTTTTGAAAGAAGTTTGAAATGAGCTGATTTCATTTGTCGGTTTTAAAAACTCCAATTTTTGCACAACTGGTAACATTTACGAAGCATCTACTTAATGCAGGAATCTGATGTCCATTTGCTTTATCTTTTCCCAGGTCACTTTTCCTTTTAAAACTTCTCCTAGCTGCTTTTTCACAAAGGTCATTGTGAATAGGATACCTGATTTATCTGACTAACTTGAGACTTTGATAAAAATGTGAGGTTAAGAGAGGGAAGGAGGGAGGAAGGGAGGAAAAATACTTATTTCCCCCAAGAATTAGCCACAATATGTCCCTGACTGTAATTTCCCTTACTTCTTTTCCCCAGAACGGATGGTCGCCGCTGGTCCTTGGCCTCCCTTCCTTCATCTGGATATGGAACAAACACTCCCAGTTCGACAGTTTCTGTAAGTGACACTGACTTTTTCAAGCAATTCAGTTTGTACAAATACACCCTAACAAATCAGCTTCTGAATCTTTACTAAAATATCTGATCTTTCTTCATTTTTTGCTAACATTATTTAATATACTAATTATTTTAAAAATTATTTTAATTACTGGTTCTGCTGCTTTTTCCTCCATTTCCCAGCTCCTATCATCTTGCACTTTGCCTTTAGCATTGGTGAAATCCCAGGGCAGCACTTGGCTCAACGTATCAGTTGAGAGGCGCAGTGTCTCAGAAGTGACAGGACTCTTAAGAGATAGTGCGTAATTACTAGCCAGCTCTCAGCTTTTTTTATAACTGGGAAATGAAATTCTTGTATGCTTTCAAGTTCTCGGTGTGAAAACCTCTGCAATCAGGCTAGCAGAAAGAAAAACTATTAATCCACATCTGTTACTCAGCTCTGATAATTTGAACCTCCTAATGAAGCTTTTCAGTTCTTACACGTTATTAGAAAGGTTGGCTGCAGTTTGCTTGAGTTCTGTACTTCCAAAAGGCTGGTATGTCATTAGTAGCAGTAAGGTAGCAGCACCGTGATAACCCTTATAACCCTCAGATTCTTCATACTATGAAAATATTGTGGTTGTCCACATAAGAACTTTGCAAAGCCAAGTGCAGAAAAATTAGAAATGTTAAAGCTTACAGACTTAATGTAACACGCTCTATATGTGTGTTATGGTGTCTTCAACTGTGTGGTCACATATCACTGCCTCTTTTCATAATACTTCTACGATCATGTTGTTTTCTGTGAACTGTTTAGAGTATGTTCCCAGTAATTGTAATAACCTGCATTAATTAGGACGCAGTACTCCACGTTATGCAAATCTTTCATTGAATGCAGCATCACTGTTTTCCTTGTGACCTGTTCTGTTAAGTTCATCCATAAATTTACTAGTGCCTCTCAAACACAAATTTATCATCACAGTTAGGAGGTGAGTGTTAAATTCAGTGTATATAGCAAGAGAAGAAATTGAAGTAAAAAATTTCCTTTCAATATAAATTGATATGTTTAAAATTTTATTTTGCAATGTTAATCTCATCTCTGTAGCTCCATATGTTTAGACACATTCTTGCAGACTCTGATTTGCATAATTTCCACAATTTGTTGTCTTTTGTTGTTCAAGACAGTTGGCTTTTTGTTGGTCTTGTGGTTTTATGGTTTGCTTGTTTTGTGGTTTTTTGGGGGGGGGGTTGTTTGTTTGTTTGTTTGTTTCCTTAGAAGGCAGGTGACTTGATTTCAGTCTCCTGTATGTGCACGTGTACAGATACATGGGCAGGAACATGTAGGAATGTGGGAAAAGATCTGGTTATCAATGTAAAAAAGATGCCCCTTTTTTCACTGCCAAACAATATTATCATAGAATCATAGAATGGTTTGGGTTGGAAAGGACCTTACAGACCATCTGGTCTCCAACTCTCCTGTATGTGCACGTGTACAGATACATGGGCAGGAACATGTAGGAATGTGGGAAAAGATCTGGTTATCAATGTAAAAGCCACAGCTTCTCTGGGCAACCTGGGCCAGGGCCTCACCAGCCTCATGGTGAGGAATTTCCTCCTAATATCTAATCTAAATCTGCCCTCTTCTAGTTTACAGCTGTTCCCCCTTGTCCTATCACTACACACCCTTGTGAAAAGTCCCTCTCCATCCTTCCTGTAGGCCACTTCAGGTACTGGAAGGCTGCTCTAAGGTCACCCTGGAGCATTCTTTTCTCCAGGCTGAACAACCTCAACTCCCTCAGCCTGTCCTCATAGGAGAGGTACTCCAGCCCTCTGATCATCTTCATGGCCCTCCTCTGGACCCACTCCAACACATCCATGTCCTTCTTATGTTGGGGGCTCCAGAGCTGGACACAGGACTCCAGGTGGGGTCTCACGAGAGCGGAGTAAAGGGGCACAGTCACCTCCCTTGCCCTGCTGGCCACGCTTCTCTTGATGCAGCCCAGGACTAAGTCTTCTTCTGGGTGCAAGCTATGAGAGCATGGAGCAAGTCCATTACTTTCTGCACGGATGACATCCAAATAGTTTGATCATTGGTAGTCACTGTGAGAGCTTCCAAGATGCCTGTGAAGATGACACCTGTGGAGACCAAACTGCCTGCAGTGTGTAAGTCCTTCTCACCTGCAGGTGTGATCAGTAGATTTTCAAGAGCTTATAGTCTGACCAGCCTTTGGGTCGATGTCCATGGAGAGAGCAAAACTAACACAAAACAAAATTCATTGGAAGTATCATTCCTTGCTTTGAAATAGGGAAATTACAGCTACTTTTAGAAAGTTCTCAGCTTTCTGTCATGGGAAGAAAGCGTATTTGTCTGTTGTCATGTTCCCAGAAATAGCTAGATCATTCTGATTGACGTTTTTCCAGGGGAAAAAAAAAACAACACAACAAATCTGAGATAGACATGTCACATAGAAAGCATCAGTTCAAATGGTGTAAGTATTGTAAGCAACAGAAAACAGTGTGATATAATGAGAAGCATGAAGTGATAGTTGTATGTAGATCTGAATTCACATTTGTGCAGGAAATCGTTAGATTAAAACCTGAAATTCCAATACTTTTTTTTTTTTCCTAAGTGGCTGAGTCTCTCATCTCTTGTCCTTTTGCTTGTTCAGTGTTGCAATATCAGAAGGACATTGAAATGGGCTGTTTAGAAAGTAGTGATGCAATTCCTGGAGCTAATTAACTTAGTATTACATTACTAAGCCAATCATACGTACTACTTGTGTATGAAAATAGTATTATCATAGTATTTCATAGTTTAGAATTAATTTGAATTGATCTGGATAACACCTCTGGAGTTGATAAGCAGCATTATTCCTGCATAGACTTTAAAAATGAAGTAAGAAGTGGTCAAGGGGCTTGTCAAAAGGGCATAATGAATTAATGCAACAGATGTGAATTTAACAGAATTTTGGGCTTCCATTTGGTGTGATCAGTCCTGAAGATTACATTTCTTTTTCAAGCAAGATAGAAGGAAACTGATAGACCTTCTTTCTGGTGTATGTATCAGTAGGAAATGAAATATCAACGAGAGCAGCATCAGTTCTGTGTTCTGCTGGCCTGAATTTCTGTATGGCAGTTACAGCTGACCTGCATCTCTGTGGTCATAGATCAGCTGCTTTACCAACCCACCAACTGAACAAACCAAGACATTTACCTAATCCAAGATCAGTGGAAACCTGTAGATTCTGCTTTATTTTTTCCTTCCAAATGAGGGATGACACTTCTAAAAAAATTCACGTTTACCCTTTTGATACAAATCACGAAGACCACATATATATCATCAGACCAACACTGAAAAAGCTGGAGAAAACCTGCTTTCAAGTTAGATGAATATAAACCAGTCAGTTGAATGGGTCAATGTAAAATTTTTTTTCAACATCTAATCTGCTATTCATTTTCTAGATACAGAGTTAATATATAAGCTACTATAGTATTAGCTTGAAGTTTTTTACTGGAGAAGAGTTGACTAATTCTATATCTGTAATTAAGACACCAAGGGGATATTTGTATTAGTCTCCTGCAAATACAGTGATGTGATTACTTAAAAATCAATACTTCAGAAGTGTTTCACTTTGCTTTCACACTTTTTCATTGAAAGGTTGTACGCCTTAAAACTGCTAGAGAAGCCTTTGGCAGAGGAAAGTCTATCTCTCACCATGGTCTTTATCTTTAGGGTCTCCTTTAGTTATTCTCTGGAATTACAAACTTTGTGATCTGGTTGCTTTTAAGGAGCGAAAGTGGAGGGAGGATTTTGTTGTGTCATAGGCAGTCACTTCTTCCCATTCCTTGTGTAGTGTAAGACAGGAAGACATCAAAGAAAGCTCTGAAAGTCAAACAGGGCTTACATAATTTTGTGCTACAGGGAGTGAGTCTTTCCTGTGTTTGGCATAAGCAGTGTACGCAGCAGCATAGCTATAGGCGAAGGGGCTATCAAATGCCCAGGCTCTGCTTCTTCACTTCAGTGTGGATTAGACCAGTGTAAGCTGATAGGCCATCTGGACAATCATCACTGTGTGGACACTGTGCTGGAGATGACTTCCCAACATGATCCCTGCACCTAGATTTGCCTGGAGGAAAACGCTGGTAGTGGCAGCTTCCACTTCCAGCCATGCCTGGGGAGTTCATGCATGTCCCAGGGCTTTCAAGGGCATTCTCTTCTGTAAATACCTCTGTGCAGTGCGGAGGGAGTGGATCTGGGGTCTGGAGCCAATTCTGTTTTTATTAAAGAGTATGTTCTGTAGGTTTGTAAGTTCTCACATTCAGATCTACCCCTCAGTATTGGCTGGAATTCTCTAGATAAGACAATGCTAGGATCTGCAACAATCTGCTTCATTTCAATTCAGTTCAAGTGTAGCTGTTACCTTCTTGACAAAGTGTGATGTACCTGTTATATTCAGAGTGTTTTCTCTTTGCCATCAATATTACAAACATGCAGGACTCAGTGAAAAGCCTTGTCAGGATTTGGGTTTTATTGCTTGGCCATACTTCGTAGCTTCTTTTCCAAAAACATTCAACAGCAAATAAGTCTAGAAAAGCATGCTAGGTGAGTTAAAGCTTTGGTCATACATGTTGTATCATGTAGCGTTGTCTCCTACCAATGCTTCTGGTACTAGAATGCAGTGCTTTCCAGTCTGAGTGAGGGTCATTGTAGCGAAAGGAAAAGTTTTTCCACTGGAACAGTGTACAGAATTAATTTCATCATAGCAATAAGGAGCCTTGGAACTTAGATTAGGATGATGTTTTTAATAAGGCCCACTAGTATTATTCAGTGCTACTCTGGTTATTCAGCACTTCTCCCCAACCCCCCCATTGTTTTTAAAAAGATTTTTTAATTTGTCCTTACATAATACATTTTCTTAATTTTGTGAAATGGAGAGGGGCATTGAAAAATCATACAAGAAAAAATGCATTTGTTAGTTGACCTATAGCTTTTTCCCCTGCAACATCCAACATTTGGTGTTAGCAACACTTCCAACAAATATTTGTTTTAGTCTCAGGTTTTTTGAGGTTCAAAAATTAAAACAGCTTCATGTCTATCATTATCACCGGACATGAGTCATATAAATGCATCAACTTATTTAAAGATGAATAAGCTGTTTATAACAAGAAACTCTGTTAATCTTACAACTCTGCAAAGTCAGCTACTTTCTTTTTATTATTGCCTCCTTGGTTAGAGAAGAAGCCTGATGGGAAAAGGCAGGGAGAAATAAAATCCTGACCATTTACAATAGCAATTTCCAATCAGAGCCAATAATCAGCAAAAACTGTCATGTCTACACAGCTCCATAGCATTCTGCATGCCAGTGAAGCCCCTGAGCTAAGAGAGCATGAGGGAAAAGGAAAGAAAGTTGCTCACCACTCCAGGAACCTCCTTGTCCTTGCAGAGTAGCACTGGTACTCGCTTACCTTCCTTTCTGTCTCCTGCTACTAAATTATCTGAATGATCAGATATAATGGTTCCAGAATTGGATGCAGTGGTTCCCTAGCCTTCTCCCAAAGTTTTCCTGATCTCATCAGCTCTGTCGTTGTATGTAAGGGTTGGCTTAGCCTAATGAGAACAATAAAAAGAGGCACCTGGTCTGATAAGTAGCTTTCTTTTCCGCTGGAGTGTGCAGTGTCTGGCAGAATCCGTTCCTCTTCCATTCATTAGCTTACCCCTATGCATGCGTTTAGTGCATTTCTTTTCTGTATTTTTTTCTGTACTCAGTCATCATGCTCATCTCAGGAGAAGCTGCACCAGCTGCCCTTTCAGCCCACGGCAGATGAACTTCATTTCCTGACAAAGCATTTCAGTACTGAGAGCATCACTGATGAGGAAGGGCGCCATTCTCCAGCCTTGAGGCCTCGATCTCGCAGTCTCAGGTGAGCTTCAGGTTGTTGGCTGAACTTTTGAGATGTTGGACATATGTATTGCCTTTCTACATGTGCTTTCCGATCTAAGAATAGTAGTTTGTAGTTGTTTTGTTACATGTGTTTGAAATTATTTTAGTCAGCATTTAACCCACCTCACCTAATCATAAAGGATTTTTTTTCTTTTTTTACATGTGACACTGAAGTTTTGAGTTTCTGAATGGTTAGTGTAGTCTGCTTTTGTATCTTCACAATAACTCTGTGAAAACATGACTGACAAGCATGTTGGACTAAATCTATAAGGATGTAGGTTTCCTTTAGTGAAGTTTCTTCTCAGAATTTGGCTGTGTTAATATAAGGAAGTGGTTACAGTCACTGTTAATAACTTTTCCAGCAGTGCTTTTGAAGGGGTATGAAAACTAGAGTAGGTGAAGTCAAAACCTTAAATGGAATTACAGCCAAGAGCAATTTTGTAATAGTGCTGAAAATGATTCTTCTGCATTCGCAGTTGAATAATTTTTACTCTTGCTTCAGAGAACTGGTTGTTCAATGATAGCTGTCCAGGGGTTATTTCCTTGTGCAGCTGATTTTTCGATACTTAAAACCAGAAGCAACTATAACTTCATCTTTCACAGAATTAGAGAATGACTGAGATTGGAAAGGACCTCTGGAGGTCATCTTGTCCAAACGGCTCCTTGAGCAGATTGCCCAGGACCATGTCCAGACAGCTTTTGAGTTATCTCCAAGGATGGAGATTCCACAGACTCTCTGGGCAGTATTTCTTGCACCTCTGTAACAATAAAGTGGAATAAATCCACAAACATTTTGTATCATAGAAAAACCTTAGGTTTTGCTATGCATTTATTGCTGGACCAAGTGAATGAAGGTCTAGAGATATATACCTCTAGATGCAGTATCTTGTGAAAGAAAAAGGATTTATACAATCAGAGGACAAGGAGGTGAAGTCTCCCTGTTGCTTCTCATTTGAGGGTGTCAGAGGTGGGATATCACCTTTAAATCAATGGACCATATCCAGAAATTCTGCCAGCTGGAAATACTGAATCAGTGTGCCCAGCTCAGGACCTAGACTGGGGTTTGTAGTAGAAGGAAGTGAAACAGGCCAAGTTAACAAAAAAATCCATGGTGAGTATCATGTCATGGCAGAGCTGACCTTTCATGATTATTTGTATGTTCTGAAATTAGTGGAGGCTACTTGGTAATTGCATGTGGGTCTACTAAGTGTAGTTACACAGTAATCTACAGGAGCAGGTAAGTACTATAGGTAGTAGCACACTTAGCTTGTGATCTCTGCAAGTTGACGTGTAGTAGAAGACTAGTTATATGATTTGTACGAAGTCTCTTTGAACAGTAGTCCTACTTCAGTCCTGTTGCTGTCACTCTTAACGCTGACTGTGCTGGGTAGTGTACCTGCCTGTAGTAATACTAATTCTTTATAGATAATACACCTACTGTATGTAGACAACACATCACTAAAGTAATTATTGTCCTTTCTAACACAGAAAAATTACTGTTGGCGTAATGAAGTATAAGGTGCCCTTGCTAATGGAAAAATGATGTAAACAATAAAATGAAGAGCCCAATGCTGGGTTTTTCCTTGCTAATGCGGATTACCAACTTGCTGAGAATTTTACCTCTGTGAACCAATGTAGGAGCAGAGTTAGCACATAGGAGGTTTATAATTTGTGACAAGACTAGATTAATTCAATGTGTCATATAACCATGTGATTAATCTTCTTCCTCTCTTCACAGAATCATAGAATGCTTTCTCTAGCTCTCTCTGATTTTCAGTGTGGTAATGGCCATCAGTATTGGTATTCCAAAGCTTAGAATGAAGTAATTTAGTTTTTTTTAAATTTACCGTGCCTGAGTTGTTTTTCATTTTGCTTATTGCTAGTACTGTGATGCTGTGTGACTCCAAAGGACCCTTGCCACTACCAAGCATTTGTGCTGGCCCTTGCACCTCGAAGGAGAATTGATACGTCAGTCCAACCAGTTGGAGCAATGTTTGCAGGGGTAAATACCCTCTTTGACAGAGGGTAGTGTGTCCTTGTAAACAAACAAGTACTGAAATGTGAGAAGACCAGACCTTATTCACTGCACAGCTTGCTTATTTATTTACCCACATGATAGGGTTAGCTTACTTGGTGAGAGGATATTTTTACATTAAAAAAAAAAATCTGAGCAGTTAATGTGTTGAAAATTAAGTGGGATTTCCCTAAAAATGTAGTGTTTTCATAAGCATTAAATGGTCTTGTTTGATCAGCTTTAATGAAAAGCAGATGAACAAAATACATCAGCCGTTTTCCTTAATTGGCGGTCACAGCTTTGTAATTTAAATGATGGTCCGATATTTATGACTGATAGTTAACATGTGTTCATTTTTCATCCTTTATGACTGCAGCCTTACATATCTTTTTATGAGACAGGAATGGATATTTTGAGATGCACTGTCAAATGCTGGGACTGTTGTTTTTGAGGGTCTCTGAAACCCAAGATTTTTTGGAAGTATCAGATGATCCTTTTATGCCTACAGATAGAGGAGAGCATTGCCTAGATGTAACTTTTGGAAAAATCCACTACTTTGACTAGAAATTTACCATTTTCTTGTATCTAGCTGCAATGTTCTGTTCATACAGAGCAGTCTTAATGATCAAACTGGATGGAAAAAGTAAGAAAGCATACAGTCATGGAGGGTAGTGTTGTCTGATGTACGCTGACACGTTGGTAGCACCTCTATTGCTTGAGATGTTCTGCCAGTGTGGTGTGAAGATACTCATGACTTAACTAATCACGCCTTATTTGAAATATTCTGAATTTCTACA